AGAGTTCCAGTGCTGGGTCTGCAGGTTGGCATATTATTAAATGGTTGTAATTTCTTCAGTTGTATCCTTGGTTCTATAAAAAAAAAAAAAAAAAAAAAAACCCTGACTTTTTTATTATTACTCAAGACCCCAAAGAGAGAGAGGGAAATCCTCACATTTCAGATTTTTGGTTAAATTTCATTGACAACTAAAATATTATCTGAAAATGTTAATTAAATGCGGTAGTGGTCTGACATTTAAAATTACTCCTTTTTTTTGTTTTAAGTGACCGCATCTAATAATTGTGTGTCCCTTTGTCTGTCCAATGGGATTGTATTATACCACAAAATTTAAAACATCTAGGTTTTTTAAAATTTTATTTTGGCTCATGGAAGAAGCAGTTTTCAAGAACAGGAAAAGTAACATGTTTAAAAAATTGCCTTGATTTGAAAACTAGACCAAGTTCTCTGTCATTGAAGCTTATTCCGAAAAAACATGACAAGCGTGAATATTTTTGCCAGGTACAAACCAGCAAAGGCTGACATTCTAAAGAGAAAGGAAATATAGTAAAATTACTCGTCACCCTAGATGACCCATCCAAACATTCTCCTGGCTTAGCGGAAGTGTGCCCAGGCCCATTTTGCAGAGATAGTAAGTAAGGAACTGAGTATGACTTGCCAAAGTTACGTGGGAAGTTTTGTGGGGAAGAATACATTGCTGTCACCTAACAATGCTAACAGGCTTCTGAAAACTGAGTGGCCCACTGTGGGTAGTTTGAGGACTATGCAAAGAGGATGAGGAGCACCACTACAGCCAATTCAACTGCCTTTGCCCTACGTTTTGCTGAGGGCCAGCAAAAAGGCAGTATAACATGGTTATTGTCCAGCAAGTTGAATGATGTCATCCTCACTGCCCTGACTTCAGCACAGGGGCAGAATCTCATTGGTTTGCGTTTAAGGAAATTGAAAACTCCAAAGTGCATTTTCTTTGGTTTCCAGTTTAGCAAATTTCTGTGGTAACAAAGGGTCACATTTTCAAAGGTGTTGAGGCATCTCAAAATAGATTGGTGCCCATTGGAATTTTCAAAAGCACGTAGGTGGTTAAGTCCTATTAAAATGAATAGGCACTTTTGAAAATTCCATTTGGCACTTGTCTGAATCTTCAGCAGCCTAAATATCTTCAAAAATCAGAAACAGAAGCTGTGCAAAATGGATAGATTTCTTCAGTACCATGGCCTATTGTGAATATGCTAAATGCCCATTCTTGGTAGCAGTGCAAAGGATGTTAAGGGCTGTTTTCTCTCCTGTGACAGAGAGGAACCTAAACCCCAAAGCAGCCTGCCTTAAGAGAAGGGAAGAAGAAAAAGTTTCTGCCGTATCGGCAGAGCCACCAACACCACACCCAGGAAGCCACCCTGGGCTTAGTGAAACTACCAACCCTATGGGTCATATGTGAACACCAGCCAGGTACGTCTCTTGTTCATGTTCATCAGTTTGGGGAGAGGGTCCCATCAATGCACTGGGATGGCTTTAACTTGATTTACTGACTGAAGTTTGAAAGCCAACAAAAACACAATTTGTGTGATTATTCTGAGTAATTGGCGCTGCCTCTTCATTAAAGTGCACTAAGCACTTCTATACATCTGAGCCACGAGTAAGAATATTCAGATGTGGGTTAGTTATAAACTAAAGAACCAGGAATTTTAGGTAGCTTCTTTTTATTTGCCTACAGATATATCCTCCTGGGTCAGGCGGCCTTCATAGTGTGACCTCAGAGGAACTACTCATGACTAGGCTAGATAAGCCAAAAATAATAGAGATTAATTGTGCATACTCAAGAGGTATAAATATCTCACTTGTTTAATTATCAATTCATTATTTCCCGTGGCTGATTCACACAGCAACTCAAATAGTCAGAAGGGGCTTTTCATTTCAAATAGAAGAGGATTGGTATTTGGCTTGAGGCCAGTCATTTAAATCATACCACTTGTCTGACAGGCATTACTTGACTGTTTGTCTTTGCAATCTGCATTAGACATCTTCAATAAAATCCTACTTTATGTGGCTACCATTTCAGCTTTTTGTGAATACACACACGAAAAACCAATGTTTGTATTGTCTCATGAAGCCAGGTGGTTACTATATCATTCATTTGAAAGCTCCAGTTGATGATCCCATACTGGGATAGCAGTCTGTTTTTCAACAGAATTGGTAAAAAGTAATGAAAAGCTGCTTTTGACCCTGCAAATTCCTGTTAGAATTCTTTAAAGAAGTATTTTCCTGGCCACTTGAGCTCATCAAAGCTATTATGCCCATGGTCAGGCTCCAGTGCCTTTATTTTCACTTACATTTTACAAAGACAAGAGATTACATTTTGGATGCATCGTCCATGGATTTAGTATCATAGCTTCTATTAACTTTGGTCAAAGTTGTGTGGCAAATCCTTCTGCAGCATCCTGGAATTTACCCCAAGGTAGCTGTGTACCCTCTGAGAGACCTTCCAAAACATCAAGGTGGCACTGAAATTGAACCTTGTTAGATATTTCTGGTGATATTTTTCCCATTGCCATAGCAATCCCAGTCAGCTCCTTCCTCTGTAAACTAGATTGAAGAAATGTTCTTTTTTCTACCTCAAAGCATAAAAAGCCTACTGAGTTCCTCTAATTTTTGTTTCATTTCACATCACTACAATAGGCCCCTTCTAATTTGCCAAAAGACAGTCCTGTCAAATCAACACGGTGGATTTTCATGCCACGATAAGAATTGAATTTCTCTGCATGCTTTTACAAAGAACATGTAGCAAGAAGTACCATGATGTCGTTAAACTTTTAAGTAATTACCCTATTAGGGTAACAAAATCTCATAGACTTTAAGGTCAGAAGGGACCATTATGATCATCTAGTCTGACCTCCCGCATGATGCAGGCCACAAAAGCTGACCCATCCACTCCTGAAATAATTCTCTCCCTTGACTCAGCTGTTGAAGTCCCCAAATCATGATTTAAAGACTTCAAGTTGCAGAGAATCCTCCAGCAAGCGACCCCTGCCCCATGCTGTGGAGGAAGGCGAAAAACCTCCAGGGCCTCTGCCAATCTACCCTGGAGGAAAATTCCTTCCCGACCCTAAATATGGCGATCAGCTGAACCCTGAGCATGCGGGCAAGATTCTCCAGCCAGATCCTCCGGAAAAAAGTTCTCTGTAGTAACTTTTAATATCCCATCATTGACCATTGTTACTAATTACCAGCGATGGCACGTTATTGACCTATTGACCTAAAATCTGAACATTGATGAAAAAGATTGTAGTAATTAGTTACATATAACAGCATGCACCTTTAATTATGTGAATTAGAATATGAATAATCATTTGTATAACTTAAGAAAAGATAAGAGCTTCTGCAGAAAATGTCCAATTCTTAGATGAAAATTGTTAAACATGTAGTCTTGGTAAAGACAAATTTAAACAATTGTTTGGTTTTTTAGACCTGAAAATTGAGTGTTGCAAATATTTACCCCCCCCCACCACCACCTCCTAAACAATATATAAAATCATGATTTTTCCAGACAGAGGGAAATTTTCAGTGCCATTCTGAAAAAGAGTAGGCTATTAACAGTTTTTCCCACATCAGTTTCTTTAGTTGGTTGTAGTTCTTTCATTTTTGCTAGGTTGAGACATTTATTTTTAAAATAACACAAAGCGTATGATAAAGTGCTCATGTACTTCTAAACCATACTGGATTGTTAAGAATTGTTCCATTCCATTCCATTGTAGGGTTTTGTTCTAAAGGTGAAGCTCTCCTTTGAGTTGAGGAAAAAATAAGTTAGTTTTGGTTTCTCTATATAATCAGTGGTATCTTGCTGCTGATACCTCAAGATTTTAATAGCTTTTCAGTTGCCTAGATAAAATGGATTTAGTGGTTTCAGTCCAATTCCTGGGAGACAGGTTTCCACATTATAAGAATTACCATCCTGACCAACATCGTAGTTGGCAGTCTCAGCTGAGAAGTCCATGCTGGAATGGGCATGGAGACTGAGCTATCTTGTCAACCTCACCAAAAAATGTTTTTCCCAGGCCATCTTCATGGCACATCAGTGGAGTAGGATATTTTTGCACTGTTTGCTGGATGTGCTTGAGGGACATAGAACTGCAGTAATTTGGTACATTTCATTTGCACTAAATTCACTGAAAAAAGACCTGAAGAAGAGTTCTATGTAAACTCGAAAGCTTGTCTCTTTCACCACCAGAAGTTGGTTCAAAAGAAGATTTCACCTCAGCGAGTGTCTGTCTCTAATATGCTGGGACCGACACAGCTGCAACAACACTGCACATATGATATAGCTACAGTCTATATAATAGTGTTGTTAATTTTTCATTAATTGTTTTACTAATACAATTTTTCTTCTATTTCCATGCCAGAATTCCAGAATTATCGGTAGGATATATAGAAGGTGACCTTTCTTTACAAGGACACAGACAACTAACATTATATGAAGACACAAATCTGACAGGAGAAAACACTTGAAGCAAGAAACCCAAATGCAATCTTATGATCAAAGCTACTGGTCAACACCTGCATCAGAAGTGAAGATACAAAGATCTTCAGATAGAATTTCAGCCCATGAAATACTCTGAACATATTCTGTTGCAAGCAGTGTGTCGCTTCTGCACAATCAGAGACTGTTGTGATCTCTCCACTCATCGTGGAAGTTGCCTTGTGCCTAAACTGAATTGACAAATGCATTGTAACTACAAATTTTATTTATTGTTATGGAACTGTAAAGGTCTACATATAAAGGGAAAAGTTAACATGTTGAAAGCTGATAGAATTTCAGCTGATGCCAGCATTTGTTAAAGCTGTTCACATTCAGAGAACAAAGCCGTGACAACCGTTGACCCTTAGCATTCCCAGCGTACCTATTAGTGTCTTAAAAAAGGAAGGGAAAAGTCTTTTGTTGTCCTTTCCACTCCTTTTGCCATATGACTAGTGTTTTCCATGCAATAGGAAAATATTCCTTGGCATAGCTTTTTTTTTTGGTCTCTGGTAATCTGAACAGTTATGGTCATCGTCCGCTTCCATACTGAGCTCCATACTTCAACCCATTCGAAGGTACAGTGAAGACCGCAGACAGGAGCAGTACTGTGACCATGCCATTTCTTGGATTTAAAAAGTGGTATTTTTTCCCTCAGACTTTCCTCAAATAAATATTTTTATTTCTAATTATAAACCAAACCTTTTTAGGCTTCTAGGCTTCATAGTAAAGCTTGTAACGTGAAGTGTAAATTGGGTGGGGAGAATCTACTTTGTTAGAATTGCTTTGTTTTCCAAGCAGTAAGTACTACATATAGTACATGTAAAGTGTTAGCTGTACGTAAGCACAAAATGCATTAAAATACAAAGGAGACTTTTCGGGCTGTAATTATGGTGAACAGTAAAATCCTAAATTCACCATGGCAGGTAGTGTGATGAACTAAACACAGCTGTGGTGGGCTAATTACATAATGGGAGATAAGAGCAATGGTCACCAATCTTTTTACTTATTGTATACATTAATTATCTTGTCATTTTTGTATGGCTTGTCAGTGGAGAAGAATTCAGTGTGATTCAATCAGTTGCAAACAAACTGCCCCCTCCCAAGCCATATTAGCATTAAATCATTAAATGTTGCTCCACCAGAACAGTGTCCATAAGTATTCCTTTGTCACTAATGTGTTGATTGTTAAAATCCCTCTGAACTTCCATGGAAACTGTCTTCCACTGCAATGACCATGGGGGAAAACTATCAAGCCAAGGTTGTCTTAGCTATTGTTTGCCACCAGTGAAATAGGCAATACCCTATCAGCTCATACACAAAAAAGGAACAAAACAGTTAATCATTTTAAATAATTTCAATTAATTTAAAAGAACAAAAAAAAAAGACTGTTAAAACAGACTAATGAATTTAAAATCACGTTTTGGATGATTCCTAACAAACCAGTTGTTTGTGAAATTAGTGATTTCATTCTATTACTTTAATTAATTTGAATATATCATCAGATAATATCTGACTATATCTGTGGCCTTGTTCTTCATTTCAGTGTTTATCAGCTAAACAAATTTGTCGCTTATGACGTGTGAAAGTGATCACGTGCCACTGCCAGGCCTTTTTCCTTCTAAGCTTGTCGTCTTTTTGGCTATATTAGACTTTGCAGTATGCCCAGAAGCTTTCCTTCATAAAATAGAAAGAAAAAAACATTTGGCTTATTTTTCACTGTAGCTAGTCTTTTATACAATAATCTTGTAAGAAAATTTCTTGAATTCTAAATATTACTCTTTCTAGATTTTTGAAATCGAAAAAGTTTTCAGTAAAAAGTTTCTTACTTTATTTTACTATATTAGGTAGTAAAAATGTAGGGTTATTTACCATAACATGTTCATTAATATCAGAAATTTACAATAGCATTGTAAGACCATAGTAGGGTTCTAGCATACCGTGTAGTACCTATGGAGTATTGTAAGAGCTAATTGTCCGAGATGAATTGCTTCTCATCTTGTTCTCCAGTTTCCATTGTTGGTTTATTGCAGATTTGTACCCTGTGTCAAATTTCAAGGTATTGCTGATAAAACCTTTTCAACCAGCAGCAAGAAGTTCAAAAAATTTTCTGTCAATGTAACAGAAAACACTATGTATATAACATTTATGTAGCAATAAATGTGCCATCTTTTTTAACATGGTAAATCAGTGAGTTTTTAAAAATTCTCTTTCATTAGAGATTGTGTTGCTTGGAAACCCTGTGGCACAACAGCTTCCCTGTTTACTCCAGTAAAAATCAAATAGATTTTCAAGGCATGCAGCTTAAATTGCAGGCACAAAATGGGTATGTGCTGCTCCCATTGAGCTCAATGGCAACCCCCCCATTGATTTTAGTAGGACCAACAGCCAAGCAGTACTGGCAGCCCCCAAAAGGTGTGTGCGCACATGCAAACAGCAAGTTGGTAGTTGCAGTTGCTACTGCATTGCATATAGTTTGCACCCCACACCTTCATTCCTCCTGTTTACAAATTCAGTAGGAAATATTTCACCTGCCCTTCAAAGGTTAGCATGTTATCAAGCTCCAAGACCTCCCTGTGTGTTGATCAGATTCATGGGTGCCTGAGTTACTTTCAGATTGACTGCCACATCTATTCAAGATCTGTGAAAGAGACATGCACAGGTGAGGCTTGAAAATTTTCCTAGCTTTTTTCCCATTATTACAAACGAAAAAGGAATCGGGTATCAACTATGCATAAATAAATTATCACAGTGAAATCTATTTACAGTTTGTAATCTGCAGTTTGTTTAAAACCAAATACTTTAAGTGGTAGCACAATTAAATTTTGGTCTCCTAACACCTTAAATAATGTTTTTTCTACATTTTATTTGTCTTGTGGCCTAAAATAAGAATAATAGTCCCAGAAAGAAAAGTAGAAGAAAAAGAAAAATTAAGAGATTACAAAATATCAGGGGATTGGTGGGCTGTCCTACTCATTTTTCATTTAAATGTCAGTGTGTTCATTCTCAGTCTTTAGAGCTACTACTTACAATGTAGCTTTCAACTCATCCTGTATCTTTCTCTATATAATGTTAAAGTATCTTGAAAATAATTGTATTAACTAAGGCCTAGTCTACACCAGAACAGGTTTGCTATTGTAGCAAACCCTCCTATTGTAGATGCAGCGTATGCTTTTGTCAGTATGACTTATACTGCTTCTTAGAGCAAAATACCCTATGGCAAAAGCATTTCTATGCTGGTATTAACTGCATCTACCTGTAGGTTTTTGCCTGTAAAGACACAGTACATCAGTTCTGCTTATTAACAACCCCGCACTTGCCGGAAAAAGTTGCTATTATCTGGCAGTTGCTAATAAGTAGAAGGCAGGTTTGTGAGGCAGGAGCCAGGGAAGGAAGCACTGGGATGTGTCTTCCCTGGCTGCAGCCCTGCAAACCTGTGGGCAGGGCAGCAGCAGGGAGCGGGGCTGCAGTCTAGAAGCTGGGGCTTTCCACAGGGAGTGGTGGTGCTGGGGCCACGATCTACACTGTACCTCTGCCTGCACTCTCCAGGGGTTGGGGCTCAGCACGTCCCAACGCTTCCTTCGCTGTGCACAGTCCCCCAGGAGGGCGTAGCCTGGAGAGCACAGGGAGAGGTACTGTGCAGATCCAGCATATGGACTGCAGCCCCTCTCCCTGCTAGTGCTTGGCCCACAGCACCTGTGTGGGCCCTGTGTGCAAGCAGGTGTGCTGGGCTGCAGCCCCCAAAAGAAGTACTGGGACATGCTGAGCACCAGCCACAGGCAGGTGTGCCGAGCTGCAGCCTCGCAAACCTGCCTGTAGAGGGTGCTTGGCATGTCCCAGCGCTTCCTTCTGCAGACCTGCCTGCAAGTGGGTGGCATCTTTCTTCTAAAAAAAAAAGTTGCCAATAAGCAGCATGCCATTGCTCAATATCAGGATTGCAACTACGTGGAATCTACTGTATTTTGTAAACATAACATATGTGTGTGTGTGTGTGTGTGTGTGTATGTATGTATGTATGTATGTATGTCACTCCCCAACTGACATTATTATACTGGCAAACGTTTCTAGTGTAGACCTGGCCTAATACTGTATAGGAGGCTCGATCTACCATGCAGGTAAAACCAGCCTATGCATGTGGGGAGAAATGAATATTTTTGCCATCACATAGCATAACATTGCAGTTGTAACCTTTTTTCGTAGCCCTGGAGGACTGTGAGATTGATCTTTCTGATGCTTTCTTCAGCACAGACCACGTTTCTATCCCAATACCTTTTTTCTTACCCTGGTAATAATTCTAAATTCAGCCTTTTAGCTCTACTTTCTCCTCAGACAAACACCTGCCCTGTCCCACCTCAATGTCAGAAAATGACAAACTGACAGCTGTGTGAGGAGTTGAAAACAATACATTTCTTTAAACGTCTCTCCCTTTCTTCACCCTCCTTTTCTGTTTCTACCATACCTCTGGCCTGTTTTCATCAACTTTCTCTAGCCCCAATCTTCCTTTCGTCTCTTTGCACTGATACATTCCCTTCTTCTTTCTTGATTTTTCTTTAAAAATGTAATAAGTTCGGATGTTGGTCTGGCCACTGAGGGGAAGAGATGCATGCTGGGCTGTCTCTGTTAAACAAAATCCTATTAGTGATCTCTGAGCATCTGAAACATTGTGGGTAAGGTTTTCTGTCATTCCAAAATAGGGAAAGGCCAAAACATAGAAACCTGATTTTGCTCTTCTCCCATCACGAAGCAGAAACTGTTGGACCCTCCTCTTCTCAGACTCTCATAAGAAAAATAGTCTGGCTATCCATGAGGCCATTACAGAGCAGAATAAGAGATGTAACTGAGCCTGCAAAAGAAATTCCAGGTACTGGGTAATACAGTTAGCTCTTGAATCTGTAACATCACCACTTAGCACTTACATAACACATTTCAGCTATAGCTTTTGAAGTGTTTTATGAAGGAGGGAAACAATTTTGTCCCCATTTTACAGATTGGGAAATTAAGGCGATTGCTATACACACCTTATAGAAAACCTTAGCCATGGTGCTTCCAGTGCTACCAGGGTTGGGGGAGGGTGTTGTACTGCTTTAACTCGACCAGGACAGTTAAAGTAGTACACTGTCCCCCTGTGCGGATGCAGTTACATCCATGGAAAGGTGCTACCTACTGATATAAGCTTATTCCCCTCCCATAAAGGAGTGAGCTATATTGATACCAGGCTCTTTTATACCAATATAACTGCATCCAAGGTAGGGATTGTACTAGTACAACTATTTTGTTTAGCGGGGTCAGGGAGAGGAACACATGCTTACCCAAAATACTCATACCGGTTTAAGAAAAATAAATAAACCAACTGTTTAGACCAGGCCTTAGGCAGAGATTGTGTGACTTTTTCAAGTTGTCAGTGAGTTATTGGCAGAGCTGGGAATAAAATTTCTTCTGATTCTCAGTCTAGTCTCCTATCCACAAGCCCACACTGGTTCCACAGACTTTAAAGTAACAACTGTTGATGATAACTAATGAGAGATGAGCGATATGAAGATGAAATGGGCACAGAAAAAGCTAGACAGAATGGCAGCCAAGATCAAACCAATTGGAAATGCTGAGGGCTATGGCTGACCACAGAGAACAAAACTTCCAGAAAAATCAGGTCAGTGCTAAAGTTTAAATTTTGAGAATTTCAGGTGACGATTCAAAGAACAGAGCTTCTGAAAAGAAGAATTTCAAAATGGCTGGGTCTCGCTTTCAAGGAAGAACCAGTGCATCTTTAATGCTGCTACCTAAATGCCACATAAAGGGAATGAAATGCAAGATACAACAGGCAGAACAGTAACTGCTACATAACAGGAGTGGAAGGACAGGAAAAGATCTTTTTTTTTTTTTTTTTTTATGCAACAACAAGTCGTCACTCATCATTGGTGGAAAAAGCTTTTGTTATTTCTGTACTAAGAAGAAAAGTGATACTATAATGATTATATTGCTGGAGAAAGTTCTGCCTCAGTCCTTTTCCTAGAAAAGCTCAGGGTAATGTACTTAGAAAAGATGTATCTGTTTTGAAGTGTCTGCTCAGCAATGAAGCTAGTAAAGAAAATCCAGGAGTAAAATATTCTTGAAAGCAAAAAGATTTGACAGTGAACTCATAGAAGAAAATTAACACTAAAGAAACTGATAGCTGGTCCGTAAGATGACAAAACAATACTTTGACCTTCATTTCTCTTTGTTCATTTGTTTTTTTCATTTCTTTCACTATTATCTAGTCTGACAGTCCCACTCCCGAGGTCTTATTCAGCAATTAGAACTAATAGTTTGCTAAATCATTTATGTACCTTAATAAAAATAACTCTAGGATACTTTATACTCTTAAAAGTTCTCAAACATTGATAGCTTTCAATTGTGCCAGCTGCTGTCTTCTCTCATGCCCGCCCCCCCCACACACTTTTTTTTAGAATCCTGGAAGTGTATTCTTTGGTGCTCAAACATGACTGAGAAACCTAAATGAGACTCTGCAAGTGATTCAAAGGCTTGTGAAAATGCCTTACAGTGAGAGACTTTAAAGAGTTCTATCTGTTTATCTTTATCAAGAAGATTAAGAGGTGAATTGATTATAGTCTCTGGGTAATTTCACAGGGAGAAACTACTGAGTCTAAAGGGCTCTTTAATTTAGCTGAGAAAAACATAACAAAACCAATCGTGGCTCATAATTGTAGCTTCTCACTCCAGAACCGCAGTCAAGACCTGGTGGTGTCACGTATCTCAAACAGTTCCTCCAAGGTACAGCACGTTGACAAGGGGCACTGCATCAGGCAATGTTCAAATGCGTGTCTAGGCTCTCCATGTTCCCATTCAGGGTAATTCCTCAGCTTCCATGTGGTCATCGTGTTACCAGTCTTTGCCACTCCAGTTCTTGCTCGTTGGACACTCAAGCCAGATGAATTCAAATAAATAGTGAAGGTGATTAACAAATGGAACAAGTGACCCAGTGAGGTGGTGGATTCTTCATCTCTTGAGGTCTTCAAATCAAGACCAGATGCCTTTCTGGAAGATATGCTTTAGTGAAACACAAGTCCTCGTGCTCAATACACAATGAAATGTAGGTGAAATGTAATTTCCTGTGATATACATGAGATCAGACTAGATGATCGAATGATCCCTTCTGGCCTTAAACTATTAATCTAGATCACTGCAAATTAAGTTCTCCAAAGATGGTGTCTATAGATGAAAGGACAAAAGCTGCCGTTTCAGAAATGGTTTTATACATACATTACTAAAACAAACAATACCCCCATAAGAGAATAAGGCCATTGTTCAGCCTCTTCCTTCCCAGAACTGGCCTCTTAGCAGAGGCCAATCTGCTTTGGAGGCAGGGGTGTCTAAAGTGCCCATTTAACTAAGGAGCTAACTAGAACCCACCACGAACCTTACTATGTCTGGTTGCTGGAAAGTCAGGGCGTGGCAGGACGACTTATCAGAAGGTGGCGATTCATCATGCTCCTGAGGGTCCAGGTGCCTTACTCCTCGAGATGCAGTAAATGATCGATTATATGGCTGGACTGCCAAGCTGCTGCTCCTCAAATGGCTTTTGTTTTCCTGGCTAAACCCATTTAATTTAAAATCTTTGTATGCTAGAACAAGCTCTCCTATACAACTCATGTAAACAGAACATTATTATACACTGGATTCAGTAGTGCAAGTAAGCCAGTATGGTCAAGTACGCCATACCATTAAGACATTTATTGCCGGTATGCCATACCGGAAAGACACGTTTTCAAGAATGAATTGTAGAGCCATGCGCAGATACAAACGTCTATCCGCAGATGTGGATATCTGTAGATAGAAATTGGTATCTGCTGAACCGCAGGGCTCTCCCGGGAACCGCAGTGGCAAAAGGAGCAGAACGTGGGGCTGACACTCTCAGGAGCCAGCGCCCTGTGCCAGCAGCTCCTCTGACGCGGCTGTACTGGTACTGCCCCCAGCCCCATCCTCCGGTGGGGCTGTACAGACCCCAGACAGGAGAGACAGCTGTGTGGAAGGGCTGGGGGCAGTACCCCTTCCAAAGTGATAGAAGCTAAACTGAAAAAAAACAACCCCTCTCTTCTGTAATAAATGTAGTCACATGAGGAATTAGACTGGTATACCTAGCTTGGTTTAAACTCACACCTTAGTTTATACTGGTATAACTACAGTAATTTAACTATACCAGTATTCTTCTTCAACTGGTAAAATTTTCCCTTGTAGGACAAGCCATCCACATAAGACAGACAAGAGACAACTGGTGGATATATGCAGACACAGGAACACAGAGAAATTATACAATGCTGGTCAACATGATACGCTGGGATCCCAGCTCATCAGCTACCTAAACATCAAGATTTTTGTAGGCATCACATCAAAAGAGAGTTGTCAGAAGGGATCCAAAGGGTGACAATGAAGTTGTGTTGCAGATGTTTGTGGGGATTTCCTCCAAACCACGAGGGCAGCATGGGGGGAAGCATTACAGTACTTGTTTGACAATTTAACAAGTGGGCAATAAGGGCTAGCATTGCTGGCTGAGCAAAGGCAGGAGTCAACAACTCAAGAGTACATGAGAGAGTATGCTGGATGGAGATGGGTCTGTAAAAGGCCTAGAACATGTAGACAAGTAGTTTATGTTGGATGTTGTGGCGCCCATGGAGAGATGCAAAGAAAGGGGTGACATGGTCAAAGTGATGGGCTAGGGCAACAATTTTTGCAGCAGCATTTTGAATGGATATAAGCAGGGCCGGGTTGCACTTGTCAAGTCCAAAGAAGATGATGTTGCAGTAGTTGCGATATGAGATGATGAGAGCTGTAGCTGTGTGGATGGAGTGGAAAGGCCATATCTTAGAGAGGTTTTTAGAGCTGTATTTGTACAGCACCTAGCGCAATGGAGCATGGATCCGGATGAGAGCTTCTGGGCTGTACTGCAACATAAATAGTAACTTAGTTGTATCATTAAATAACTAAACGACCTGATTTACTCAACACTTTCTGACTAATTGAGATAAATGAACGCAATACCAGTTTAAAGTGTCTGGACTCTGCTTCCATCTTGAAGTGATAACATAGTTAATTAAATGTCCACTTAATTTGCCTGACTAATTAATAACTGAGAGTGTCATTAAACTCAGTGCTTTTAAGTGCTTATTCCCATCCCAGCATGCAAGGACTTAAAATGACAAGATCATAAAGTGTGAGTACAACGAGCGCAAGACTGCTACAAATAAAGAATCCATAAAAAGTGACAGGCTACAGAATGAAAGGGTATTAACCTAAAATAAATTAGTGTCTGTCCCTCTCTGAAGCCAGATGGTCATATCAGCTCATTTTATAGGACTATAACAAATGTGTCAATAAAGTTTCTATTACAAGGTTTCCAAGAATGTAAATACAGATACTGCGTTTACAATATTTAATCAAGGGCTGGCTGAGTCAGGGGAAAGGGCGTGGCTGAAAGCAAACCTGACACTGGAATGTTATTTGTAAGCATTGTTGTAGTTCACTATTTTTCTTGCTCAACTTTTTGGCACATGCAGGATAAACGGGAGGGAATAAAAAACGGTCACCTACCTTTCGTAACTGTTCTTCGAGATGTGTTGTTCATGTCCATTCCATTAGAGGTGTGTGGGCACCCAAGTGTGCAATCGCTGGAGATTTTTGCCTTAGTGGTGGCCGTAGGGTCGGCTGTGGCACCCCCTTGAGTGCCACGCTCATGCATTGGTTTATCAGGCACCGCCGACCCTACGCCCTGTCAGTTCCTTCTTGCCGGCGACTCTTACAGAGGGGCAGGAGGGTGGATAATAGAATGGACATGAGCAACATATCTCGAAG